GTGTTTCAATGTTTCAGAGTTTCAGAGTGTTTCAATGTTTCAGAGTGTTTCAGTGTTCCAGAGTTTCACAGTGTTTCAGTGTTTCAGTGTCTCAGAGTGTTTCAGTGTTTCAGTGTTTCAGTGTTTCAGAGTGTTTCAGACTCTGAACACTGGAGACCTGTTGACAAACAAACCACTGATCCCAGCTCCGTCAGTGCCTCAGTGAAAATGTTTCAGTCGGCCTCCAGCACTTTCAGTCTCTCTCTCACCGGACCTTTCACGTCCACAAAGCATGCGACCCTTTTCATACAGGCTTTTTCCCAAAGAGTGCACTTGACCTTATTCTCCCCCCTGCTCCTCCTCCCTGCTCCTCCTCCCTGCTCCTCCCCCCTGCGTCCTCTCGCCGCAGCACTGCGAGCGTTGTCAAAGTCTCTGGGAAACAAGAGTCGTGCTCTTAACCAAAGCATTTTCTCCCTCCTGCTGTAGAGGGGGAGGCAGATCCCGTCTCTCACCTTCCCCCCTGGCACCTCGGCGGGAGAGCCTCAGAGAGAAAGAGCTGCGTGGTTTAACTGGGATGTCTCACTTTTCTCACTTCACAGGCTCCTGGAACGAGCCGAGGCGTCAGCCGCAGAGTTTTCAGCCTCAAACATTTAAAAAGAAATAGCTGACTTAAAAAAAAAAAAGGAAACTTTTACGCATCTTAAGGATGTTAACTCACAGACACAGAATATCACAGCTCACATTCACGTCCTTGGTGGCTGCTCGATAGTTTGTGCTGTTGCTTTGAAAATTAACACTAAACTTACCTGGAGCTGAAACTTTTAGTCAGTTAATCCGTTAAATTCATCTGCTGGCCTGGAAGGTCACTGAGAGGAGCTCAGATCAACGTCTCCTCGTGAAACCACATTTAAATTCACCAGATCCTGATTTTTATTTGGATCTGCACCAGAACACACACACTCATAAATATAAGATCCATAAAATAAATTCCTGCGTAGTTATTGTGTGTTCCTGCTAACATGCAAACAAACACAGAGGATTTTAGAAATAAAACATAAATCAATAAAAAATCACAAGTTAAAAGTCTCTGACTCCTGAAAAAAATCTGATCAGAAACCAACGAAAGTCTTTTTCTATTTTCTGGTTTACTGACAAATGTTCCAAACAAAAATCTCTGCTTTAAAATGTGTCTGTAAAATGTCAGCTGTTCAAATGTTTTTACCACGTGGTCCAACTCTCCTGATGCACATCACAAGTTTCAAATCTGCTCACTTGCTTTTGAGTAAAACGAATGGACGGGGGTGAAAACCTTCTTGGCGGAGGTAAAATTAAGTTAGAAGTTTTCAGCTTTGAGGAAAAATATATTTTTCAGATGCTCAATTTGGTTTAATTTCTTTTGGGGGGGGTTCAGCTGAGGATCCAAGAACATTTTTATCTTTTACAGTTTGTGATGTTTTTCAAAATACTCTTGACTTCTCAGAGAATAATTAATTGATCTTGGAAAAATACAGAATATTAAGAGGATTGAATATTTATAAGTGTTTGTAATTTGGTGCAGATCCAAATAAATATCAGGATCTTTAGTGAACTGAAATGTGGTTTCATGATATGAACTCGACTGAGTGTTTTATGTTTTGAGACTTTGAATGTTCAGAAGAAAGAAAACTCAAACAAAGTCATCATTCCAAAAAATCAGTTTCACCACAAACACATTCAAAAGTAAAAAATTACGACACATACCAACGTTTATTTTTCTTTTTCTTCTCTTTCTTTTTTACTGAAAATGCTGAGCCGGTAGCTGCAGCTTCAGGGAACTGAGAAACAGAGTGAACAAAATACACCCGGGCATTTCAAGAAATAAAACTGACAGGTAGAGCTCGTCATGGCGGACTGATACACATCATGAGGCAGGGCGTGATGGGGAGTAATGAGGCATCTGGGTATAATCTCACAACCTCCCAATGCATCAACTCTAAATTCAAACAAATGTCTCAACATAGACTTGATGTTTATTTACAAAACTCCTTCCTCCTCCTGCGTTCAGTCCCAATGAGCTGATTCACTGCAAAGAGATAAATCTGCTCTGAGCCGCTGTCGCTCTGTTAAAGACGTAGGTTTAGTGAATTTCATTTCTTTCTGTCGACTGTTGGAGTTACATCTTTAGAAAGATATGTGTGTCTCCCTCTGGTGGTGTCAGTGTAGGATGTGATGTTCCAAGAGAGTTAAATACCTCCATCTATTATTATTATTACTGTAAGAGACAGAAATAATCATTTTCCAAAATAAAGATTGGAGGGTGACGTGACAGATGGTGTTAACGGCTGCAAACGGACTGAGGCGTTCTCCGGTGTTCGTGCACCAAGTGTTCTGAAGGTAAAACCCACCAAGGTCAGACTCACGTCTCCTGATCGGGATGTTCAGTGTACGTGTTTGTTTAAAAAGACGCCTGACTCCCATGGACAGTCGCATCATGACCAACGTCTCACACACACTGAGGCGCTCTCTCACAATTACCACGTCCATCGCTGCAGAGTCACTTCCCCTGGTAGTGAATGATCATTTCATCCATTCACATTGAGTTTTCAAAACAAAATGGGCCCTGCAGCGTTTCCAAACTTCTCCGTTTGGAGTAGTGTGAATCCATACCAGTGTTTTCAAGTGTGGATGGAGACTTATTGTTTAGGAGACAAGGTTGAAGTTGACTTGAACAAATACTGATTTTTAATTCGGCGTATTTCATTGACTCTGACAGCAGCGTCTGTAGCTTCTAGAAAACACCATCAGCAGCACGGATGATCACAGCAAAGTGAAAAGAAAGTCAGCGAACGTGAACTCAGGCTGAACAACAGCAGAGAAATGAAACAGACACTCAGTCTAAAGAAACACAAATGAAACGTTGGGAGTTTGAGGCGTTTGCTGTAGAACGTCAGTTTGAGGAGTTAAGAGGAGTTCACCACATCTGTCAGGGGAAGCTGGCGTAATTGAATCCATCGTGTAATTTATGCAAGTAGTTGAAACTTGATTTTGTCAAACTTATGTCACCCAGCCTCCATCTCTACGAAACGCGTGGACTGTCCCGAGTGCTCGCGATGGTTCTGTGCGGCCCTGCCTCATGTGTGTATCGATCCCGAGGACGACTTTTGATCCAGAATCACTCATCTTGACAGAATGGAAGGAAAAACAAGAAAACGGCAGCAAACAACAGTTGTAAAAACTGACCAGTGCATTTGTGTTTTGAGAGTCCAGTTCAGCAGGTTCGGGAAATTTGCAAATCAAGTTCAAAATTTCCTTTTGTTTCCACCGACACATGTTTGCAGGCGAGAACGTCTCTGCAGTCCCTCCGCAGACGAGTCGGAGTCCTCTGCAACGGCACAACCTCAGTTTGGAAACACTGTCCCTCCTTTCATTAGTCCAAATCAACAGAGAGGCGGTTCTGTCCCCGTCCAACTGGACACAGAGATTTTCAGGGACTCGGATCGGCTGATGCTGGAAGACCAGTTCAGATCAGTCCTCCACACAGAAACCTGGGCCGACACAGGGGGACAGTTAGCCACATGCTAATCAGCACCAAACAGAAACCACAGTTCAGAATAACTAGGTTATTAGTTTTGCAGGGTTTTTTATCGTAAACCAAAGTTTTCATTTTCCATCGCTGCCGTGCAGAATATTTTCTCCACTCTCCATTTGAAGGATGAATCACAGCAGCTCGAACGAAACAAACTCACTTGAGCTGAGAAACTCTCTGATGCTACGTCTGTGACTCCGCCTCCTGCTCTGCTCCCACCACCCTCTGGATGCTCTTGATTGACAGGTACATCTCCTCCTCCGGGTCGTAGTAATAAAACTTACTCAAGTAGGAGATGAGTGGTCTGGAGAGAGGGGGAGACAGACACGAGCAAATCAGCAGTGATCGTCCGGGCGGCAGCAGGTCGGTCCTAAAGGTCTGATCTGAGACACAGGTCCAATTCCCCTGAACAAAGTTTAGTGTTTTTTCAAATGGATCGTCACGTTTGACCACACGAACAGCAGGCGGAGCTTTAAACCACCATGTGACTGTGACGAGTACCATGTGACTGTGAGGAGAACCATGTGACTGTGAGGAGTACCATGTGACTGTGAGGAG